CACGCATCTCTGAATCCATAGTCGTGTCCAGACAGATTTTTCTTACCGCTATAACTCTTTAAACTGTTAAAGGCGGTGTCTAAAAAAACGGCACTTTTCTAATTGCTCCATTGTAACGCTGCCTGGCCGAGGTACGGAAAATTCCAGGTTGGAGTTTAAATCTGACCAGGTTTCCAAATAGTGGCAGTAAGTCGGTGTAATTACCACGCCATATTTCACCCCCTATTGCCTGGCGATCGTTATAAATGAGCAAATAGTTTTTCAAAGTACGAAAGTAGATAATAATTTAAGACATCACACGATCGTTCGGAAAAAAACCTGTTTATAATTGAGTTCTTCATTGCAAGTTCGTGCCCGAGAGCTAATTGCAAACAGACAAAAACAGTGAGTACAGAATGTGGTGAAGTAGGACTATAATTATGCAAACACGGATCGGAGTTCTACTTATACGGTCTGCTTATTTAACTTACTATATCTACTTTAAAACATAACGTTGGTATACAGGGTAAAGAGTTAATACTCTGGTTATTTCCTCCTCCTTAGGAGACCCCGGCTCCAGTAACATCAGTGAGCCATTCCTATTGGTAGCTGACTTTCGTGGAGAAATCATTCTTCAAGTTAACATCACTTCCGGTTCGACCACCACGCTTCCGCTCGGAAATGTAGGACAGCCATGGGCCCTGGACTACGACCCGCTCACGGACTACGTGTACTGGTCAGATCTCCGGAACGACAAAATCCACCGGGCTCGTCGTGATGGAATTGGCAGGGAGACCATCTTAGACATCAACAGTGAGTTAAAATATCATATTATGATGTTTTCATTATTGCAATTGGAGACAATTATTGCAAAACGCAACACTACATGACAAGGTATGGTCTTACAAAGAAAATAGGTATCAGGATAGTCATTAAGAAAATGTAAGGACCCGGCACTTCCTGATTTTGACCGAGGTATTCTAAATAGAATTCCAAATCTTCTGAGACTGACCCGCCAAAGCTTCTAAATAGAACAGGTGCGGGTCTTACGGTGTTCCACTGGAAAAGTCCATCAGAGAATCATTTGCATAACTAATATGAAAAATCTAAAATACTAGGCGTAGATTTGTAGTACATGTACATGTACCCGGTTTCTTAATTTTTGGTTCCAAACTTTACATCTTAACAATGCTTGTTTTTACTGTAAACTATGATACTTATAAGTGTGTAATTCTACAACCAAAGCAGAGGTAGAGACAGATCCCATCTGTCTACCAAATGTAGCCTAAGAGAATGGCTGAAAAGTGAAACAGTTCTTTTTTTTCACTTCTGTGTTTTGTTTTGCATTTATAAATAGATTTTAGTCAAAGAATTCAGATTTGAGACTTTCAATACAAAACAGGTCGTTCGTTATTCCTAACAGGAATCTGGAGTAAGGAACTGTGAACATGGCTTCCCGCTATAATATGAATCCTTATCGGGATATTTCAGACTGGTTGGTTTGTCTGCGACATTTTTAGGATATCTCTGGTTGGATTGGGAGCCTATTTGTAATAACGACGTGTTTGTTGGTGAAAGCCCGACATTATTGGGAAATCTAACTGTGCTCACTGCTATGTTGTCGTGATCTGTTCTGGATATAAGAATTTTCTGTATATATATATCAAAGCTTCTTGACTTGTGCATCTTCAAACATTTCTCTTGTACAAAACGTCCTCACATTTTTTTATGCAGGTGTCCGCGGCCTGGCGTTGGACCACGCTAGAGGGGATATCTACTGGACTGATTTTTCTGAAAACACCATCTCTGTAGCAAAGATGGATGGATCGTCAACTAGAACACTTCTGACGTCACCAGCCGTCAACAGTCCTACGGACCTGGTCCTGGACCCCAGGAATGGGTGAGTAAAATACATTCAAAATCAGGCATTTTTCACAAATGCGGTAATGGGGACAGGGCTGTGTACGTTTGTAAGTGTGATGCATTTCAACCAGTCAATAGTTTTAAAGACGTCATAGTGCAAACGTTCGTTTTGAAAACATCCATCAAGACCCTACTGATAATAAACCTTGATCCGGTGTTTTGGACTCTCAGTATATCATATCTATATACTTTCCTATCAAATCGTTTTGTTGTGACCTATTATTTTGGCAGATGAAACCATCGAAGTATACGGATTATGCGGGTTATACTATCATTTTGATTAATCTATATTATCTATGGTAATAATAATTATGCTAATAATACTATACAATGAATCACAAATTAAAAACATATATGAAAATTTGGCGGAGATAAGAGGTTTTGTTTGCTTGACTCCTTTCACAGACTCATGTACTGGGTGGACGATGGTAATGACAGAATTGACCGTGCTGCGATGGACGGCATTAACCAAACCACCATCATCACGGGCGTGTCTAATCCCAAAGCCGTTACAATAGACTATAGAGGTAAGAAACAACACAGCAAGAAACAAGTTACTAATATACTTATTCATACACAAAAGAATTATTTTGAAACATTTTGAAAGGCGTTCTTAGTAGATCAGTTGTTACCTGATTCTATTGTATTGTGACAATATGTATGATAAGGAGTGGTAGTCGATTATGAACATATTAAATAAATATGTATTACATGTAAGATATTATCTATGTGCATGTCTACTCTCTGTGTAATCTTACTCAACAGTCGCAGTATTCACATTGATAGGTGCATAAATCCTTCGTATATTCCTCCCATTTAGAGGACCGGCTGTACTACTCTGATCAGTACCACCGCGTGAACAGCTCAGACCTGCTGGGTAACGATATCCAACAACTGCTGTATGAAGACGGGAAGTATGTGCGGGGGATTGCTGTTGACGAGAACTACGTCTACTGGACGTCTTCTTGGTATGATTCATCAAGGCAAGGGAATGTCGGGAAAGTCGGAATGTAAGAAAATCTGATTTATCTAGTAGATGTTATTATACAAATTCCCGCTAATGTCATGTTCTTCTGCTCGATGTTGTATTAAGTTTGTTTTGGAAACATGACTTTTGTTTGTTAAGTTGGATTATATCAAGGTTACCTTCAAGTTGGTTTTGTACACACACACACACATAAATGCATACATACATACAAACATACAAACATACACTCATACATACATACATACATACATACATACATACATACAAACATACACTCATACATACATACATACACACACAGACACACACATACATACATACATGCATAGATACACACATACATATATACATACATACATACACACATACATACATACACACATACA